CCCATATCTGAGGGTTACAAGGTTCAGTAACAGGGCCAGCAACACTCTGTAAATAAAATTTTGTGACTCTAAATATTCATAGGTTTCCTCCTTTACGACTAGCCTAACAATCACAGTAAGTTTGAAAATACAATTTCAGAAACTCTGACCTATGTAGAGTGTTTACAAGAATTGTGGATGGACACAGCCGATAGACAGACAGATGAAAGTGATACCAATATACTCTTACATAAAATTAACATTTCCATTATATCATAATAGCTTTGGTTTGACCAATTCAAATTGAAAATTATTTTTTGGTGATCTCTAGTTTTCACCAAGTAAAAATGACAAACTAAGAAAAAATATTATTCCTGAATCATAACAGTAAGACTAAAATGGCAACAGATTTTATCACCGACAAACAAACGAGTAGTTATTAATTTATCATAAACAAAACAAACTTACATAGGAAACCACTCCATTCTTACTGTTTAACAGTAAAACTTGTTCAATGTAGAGTTGTTCTCATCCAAACAGGAAGAAAATATTTCAAAATCTAAGAACATTCGTGTTTTGGAAATCCATTTGATAGTCATTTTTACATCTATCTTCGTTCACAATCGCAAAATAATATTTCTTTCAGACAATCTTTCAAATTATATTATCGAAAGAAAATAAAAGCTAACAAAAGACGCTCGGATACATTTAGTAATAAAAATAGAGCTTTGAATACAGAGATTAAACTGTAACAATAGGGATTAGACCTACATCGATGTTCCGCACCATCAACGGAATAAATTTATAGAAATATGATGAAGCAATTCATTAGTTTAATTAGTGTCAGGTTAAATTGACTCGAAGAGAATCACGATAAAAAGACAATTTATATCTGAACAATATTAAACCATGCGATTCATTCATAGTTTCTCTTGGTATTAAGAATATTGTAAAATTACAACCATTAATAATATCAAACGTACTACAACTAAAGTTTTTTTTTTCTTTTTTTTAGGATTTGGGTTTTCCCCTCCAAAGATTTTGTTGGAAAATATTTTCCTTTTAAAACAATATTTTATCATATTGTCAGTGATATCACATCAGTGAAAGCATACGTTAAATAAAGCTTTTTCAAATATATAATATAACAGGTTAAAGGAACAATAACACTCTTGCTATTTGAAAAGCTTTACGTCAGGCTTTTCAAATCATTTCGTTGAATTTTTCCAATTCTTTAAATTAGATGTGTTAGGATGAAATTTGTATCATCAATTAATTGGAATATTGTAAAATAGTACAATCTGTTGACCAGAATAAAGATTGGGACATATTATTCAGTTACAACAAGAGTGGTATTGAGCCTTTAACAGGGTGTATGACACTATTCTTTGGAACCTTAAATGGGTCTAAAAGCACATATTAATGTAATATGAATGTATATAAAATGATTTATATTGAATTTTTCACATTATTTTGGTAATTTCTAATGAATTATATTCGGTGAAATATGTGAACAATCCAAATTATATGGCAGTAGTTTACGCCTGCTTAGTCCATTCTACACATGTATTATTATTATTATTTTGTTGTTTGTGAATTATTGTCTTGTCAGATATGTTTTTCTTTGTTCATTACAAATGGCATCAAAAACCATAGAGTACACGACTTGTGTACTAATTATTAAATGTTCATTGTGTCTTAAATATTGGATAGATATTAGGATCCCATGTTTTCATGACAAGTTAAGTACATAACATTGATTGAAATGTATCAATATTGAATTCTATTATTTTTTTTTTAATTTCAAATATTATGGAAAATATTGAGTTTAGAGGTTTAGCTCCTTCAATTTGCCAAATACGCTTATAATTCAACTGCATGACCAAACATTATCAATCTACATGTAACTAGTATAAATGACTAATTATAGTAATTTTTTTACTATAAACACTGTAATGTTAATAAAACTATAGTAATTATAGTAAATTTCTTACTATGAACACTGTAACGTTAATAAAACTATAGTAATTATAGTAATTTTTTTACTATAAACACTGTAATGTTAATAAAACTATAGTAATTATAGTAATTTTTTTACTATGAACACTGTAACGTTAATAAAACTATAGTAATTATACTAAATTTCTTACTACAAACACTGTAATGTTAATAAAACTATAGTAATTATACTAAATTTCTTACTATGAACACTGTAATGTTAATAAAACTATAGTAATTATACTAAATTTCTTACTACAAACACTGTAATGTTAATAAAACTATAGTAATTATACTAAATTTCTTACTATGAACACTGTAATGTTAATAAAACTATAGTAATTATACTAAATTTCTTACTATGAACACTGTAATGTTAATAAAACTATGGTAATTATGGTAAATTTCTTACTACAGACACTGTAATGTTAATAAAACTATAGTAATGGTCTGAAACATTTTCTTTGGAAATTTATCCAATGTAGCCCTTGCAAAAGGGATCTTAGATAGATAAATATATAGATTCAGGTCGCTGTCTGGCAAAATTCAGATTGCTAACCTTGTGGCAATTCAAAAATCTAGAAAAAACAGACCAAAAATTCAACGAATATTCAATACTTCCATCAAAATTGTTTACAACAACAGTTGCCGAGACTAGATTGGGCAGTGCAATGGTAGTTTTTTCTTGCTAGACCAATAAAATTTATGACAGAGAAAACTTTTTTAATTTAGACTGCAAAATATCAAAACAAATTGCATTTGTCATTATGAAGTTGACAAAGACTTAACATACAAATACATCCACCAAACAAGTTTACATAAAAATTTTAATTTCCTCAAATCAAATCTTAGCACTTACTACAAGACGATAGAGTGATAAATGTACCCTGACACAAACGGTATGGAACAGACCTTTATAATATGAACTCTTTGTGTACAGTTCATTCTCAGGTTAAAATCCGCAGAACATCTAATATAAGGTTTAAATAATGGCACTTTTGCATGCCAAACACAGATCTAGAAGTCTCAGTTCCGTAAATGAAGGTTTCGTCGCTACCGGTAACTAGTAAATATGATCTAGATCATATCCACCCCCTTCCCACTCCCCCAAAACATATGGAAATATTTTATAAATATAACCTGGAAAATTGATACAGGATTGAATGCCAATTTTTAGGAACATAGTAATATTTGAAAACATATATAATCTAATACCATTAGTTTAAACAATATTTTAATTCATGTAAGACATAAGAATATATATAATACTGATATGATGGATTTGAAAACTTAAGTCAAAGCTTACATAAATTCATCTCTAGCATTAAGTGTAAAGTAAATAATATGTCAAGTTGGATAATATTTGAACCATTTTAAATCGAAATGGATACACATTTAGGAACATTCGCAACGAATGGCTCTACAATTTCATAAGATATAGTGCCGAAGGGTCTCCGCATTCTTCATATTTATACTTTCATAGAGTAAAAATTTGTATTACCAGGGTTCCGAGTAATATTATTTCCTTCCCATATCAATCTAACAGAGCAACATTATGAAGAGAAAAGTATGACACATCAAGTGTAAAATACTTTGAGAAAGTAAATTTACAATCAAAGAGCAAGATTGTGAATTCATAGAGTTCAGAGTAATGTTTTTTTCTATTCTCAATTGTAAGCAAACAGTGCATAATTATGGAGAAAAATGTATGACACACTTCAATCTGCTTTCCATTATTCTGTACTAATTTATTTGAAGAAAACTATACACTATTCCTGCCCATATGCATATCATATATGATGATATATATATAGATATATATAAAACAAATAAAAATCAGGTGACCCTATAATTCCGTATCTAATAATTCAGAATATTTATATATGACGCTAAAATAAAACAATTCCAGATGATCTGTCAGAACTGATTTGTAATTTTAATTTAGTTTTGACATTTTTAGTGGCAATCAGAATTTTTTTAAATAACAAACAAAACCCCGCCCTGAATATAACTTCTATAAGAAATGGTATCTTATTAGCATTTTCCAAATATTAAAAAAAATTAAGCAACGACTTTATTTGGTGACCAGATCAGACATCATAGTACAGGAATTTGTTTCAAAAACCATTCCTTTATTTTTATATTCAATGCGAAAGAGACATATTATGCATCTATATCCCAATCCCTGTATTCAAATTTAAAAGCCATAATAGAGAAAACAAGAACAATATCGAGAATAAAATTTTGAAAATATACATATTCCAATATCGATTTAACTAATTAATTACAATCACAATACAACTAATAATTATTATTTATGAATAGCAATAGTTGAGATAATGATCCATGAAATGTCTATATTTGTATTTTGTTTTTCCCCTTTCTGATGATGTATCAATGCGTATAATAGAAAACAAAAATCAATTTGGTTTTATCCAATAAATTCTAATGGACCATTAATCAATTTATTAAAACAAATAAAACAAGATTTTGATCATGTTTTTTGATATCATAAATCAATCTGTCTCGGATTGTTGTTTAAAATACATTGTTTATATATTTTTAATGCTTAGTACATATAATACCTGTTTAGTATAATATTCCTTGTTTCCCTGACAGGAAATTTTCATTTAGCTTTATTTTTAAATTGTGAATAGTATCATATTACAGTATCAGTATTTAGTATCGTTTTACATATGAAATGGATATTTTAAATATTAAATTATATAATTATACTTTAAGGGGGTTTCAGAGCAATACAGGTTTAATCTAATAATGAATATTAATTATCATTAATTTTTGTATTTAATTGATCTAACACTAGATAACAAAAACTATACAGTCCGACAATTGTATTCCTACTCATATCTTTTACCGGCAGCCATTTTATCGGCACTCTTTATTTTTACATTTAAATAACGTTTCGAATCAATAACCATGTTAATCATAGAAAGCATAAAATAATTCAAACATAGGCAGATCATAAATAAAATTAAATTGGCATATCCTTAAATTTATCTTACCTTTTAACCGTTCGACGGCGGCGCTTAGTAGCGTACATAGTCTTAATTACCCAGTCCTCCACCATTCATATGAGCATCAAGTATCTGAATCAGATCTTTCACCTTATAATTATGTCACTACAATTTTACAACACGGCTACATCCCTGTCATGCAACATTTTTACCACTAATTTTCGTTCATCATTTTCGATTTTTTTTTCCGTTAAGTAATAACACAAGTCCTGCACATCCAGATTAATAATATCATGACCGATATGTATATATTTTTTTTTTTTTGGTACTACACTTATAAATTTAATTTTGGAGGAATGCAACTATACGATAGTCCTGGTTGTCTTTTATAGTATTTAATATTGTCAGAGAGTATCAAAAAGACAAGTGTATTATGATTCATGAAGTAATGAGACCTATAGTGTTTTGAACCATGATCTAGCAGACACGCGAGCCATCACTTCAATCAAAGGAAGGCGGCTCATCAATACTGACTCCGCCTCTCCAATTGTCTCAACCAATCCCCAGCTGTTATGCAGAGATCTTTCTGATTTAGTGTCAGAAGTGAACTACCTGTCAATATCCGTTTACAAGACAACTTGAACCAGAGGGCAAAAATGGAGACAAATTTATCAAAAAGTAACAATAACCATTGGACACAATAAAGTCCATTCTTTGCGTCTGCAGTGAGTTGGACAAAACAAAATGTGTAGTGGGGAGGGACTTGTAGCGCGACCACTGCTACATTATCACCATAATAATAAAGACATCTGTTAGGATCAAGTGAGAATATTAACTACAAGTACATGTGAATACAATTAGAAAAAAAAATCCTGATACACGCTACTGTATATTCCAACTGTATAACCTATTGGTAACGTGATTAACGTGATTAAGATTAGGATAAAGATTAAAATCAACAAGATAAAAGGATAACTGTCTCATTATGAAAAAAAGTCAATTATACAATAAGGATTTATATTTTTAAATAATTAATGACTGTCTATTTAAATCTGAATAAAATAATTACACTGCATTATCATGTACCTTAATGATCTCAATTAACCAAATATTGCTTATATCGTCGGTAAAGTGTCAAAAGGGTGTATCTCGGGAAATTAGTCAAATACACTTTTTTGCATTTTTAAAATCTCCCAATTAATATGCACATTTCTGTCTAAGCGGTGTATCTCTACGCCAATTAGAACTGTTCTGGGTATCATGTGTTCAAATGTTGTATCTTGATTTGTGGAAATTTTGAAATGCAAAAGGTTCTATTTCTTAATCTTTAGAAATTCTTAGATACACCCTTTTGACACTTTATACCGAGGATATATAAAATTTTATTAAAGAACACAGATATAACACCTCGATTGATATTCTGGTGATTGATGATGATCAACACAAAAACTGTTCAGTATATACTTAAAGAAGTATTATCACACTTATATATGACCATATTATAACTGGGGGGAAATTCCTAAAACAGAAATTTCTGGGGTCTTATTTTAAGCTTAACTATCTTAACAAATCAGCATTTAAAATTCTAGAGCAAATTTTAGCTTTTAACCAATGAAAAGGCATCATTCTTAAAATATTTTAGTTTAAAATTTCGTGAATAAGGCCCCCTGGTGTTATAAGTCACATATCTCAACTTTTCTAACCAAATGGGTGTTAACAATTCAGATATGAATACATTAAGATGTTGGAACAATTCTATGGATTTAGGAATTCTGCATCACTTTTTTTAGTTTCCAAAATGTCTATGGGATGGTCCAAAAAAATGCTGGATTAAAGTCTTATTAATAGATACACTTGATTGATATCTGGCATGATATTAAAAATTAAGAATTCACATTATGTTCCAATATCTGAATATTTGTAATACATAGTTTTTACTTTTATTTAAACAAATATTTCATATAACACACCATCTCAAGTGTTATACAAACGGATTATTACAATCTGAATGACAGGTCCTTCAAATACTTAAGTAGAATTCCCTCTCTAGATTTTACACTAAGGAAAACTTCAACACAAGAGGAGGCTGTTAGGACCGTCAGAGACTGATAACCGCTCTACTGTCGGCAGGTGAAAAGGTAATTGTCACTACAATTTTCCTGTAATTATCATTTGACAATGCACTTGAAGCACTCAAGTGTGTCACACTGTGATATAGTGTCAGAGAGCTGACATACCAAACAATGGCCACCCCTCACACTAAACCATAATATACACTCCAGCTAACATATTCCTTTACAAATCTTTTAAAAATATTATTTGAACCTCAAGTTGTAAATTAATATAGTATCTATAACATGTCAAATCAAACAGTATTTATTCATTCATTTATGGTTAATTAATTTTCTAATATACTCCATTAGTACCTTTGTTGAAACAGTTTTGTTGGAAGAATCATATTTTATTCATATCTATAAATACTACAAAAATTAATTATTGCAATATTACCCCCACCCACCCACTCCTACAATAGGCAAGACAACCTACTCCCCGCCCACCCACTCCTACAAAAGGCAAGACAACCTACTGTAAGCTTACTTGTATATATAATTGTTTTACAAGATGCTGCTGTCACATATACCATCTAGGGGGGTTGGATGGCCGATTGGTTAGCGTGTGTGTGATGTATCATAAGACCTGTCATTGAGTCAACTTGTACGTGACAAGGAGTAGGGTAGCCTGTCCAACCTCGTTGGTTTTCTCCGGGTCCTCTGGTTTCCTCCCGCTGCTAAAGACCCCTACACGCAAGCGAATTATTGAAATAAAATTAAAAACCATATGTTAGTCCCAAAATGACCTAGTTTGTGTCAAGTGGACGTTAAACCCCATTTCTCTCTCTCTCTCTCTCATATACCATCTTATTTATAGCTAAATAGCCTACTGCTGCCCAGGCAATGTCCTCTATCCTGAATCAGATGCATGGTGCATAGTGGATATATTTAACACCTGAAAGCTGCAAACAGCATTCAAAAAATTTAACTGAGCCTGGATAAACTTGTCTATAATTAAAATGCTTTAAAACAAGCGGCTGCCATGCAAGATACGCCCACATTTTGTAAGAGTTGGACGGAGAACGAGCTAACTAAATAATGTGATTTTTTGTACAATCAGGGGCCATAATCCAGGAAGTTATGGTCCAACATGTGAGAATATCGAAAGGAACCAAGATCTTTCGGTTATAAACATATATACCTTTCAAGTTTCAATAAAATCTGATAAAAATTGTGACTTCTAGAGGGTCCACAACATTGGTATTACATACTTTTACACTATTTGTGTACAAGGAGTGGCTATTTTGTTGGCAATTGCTGTCGGATTTTCATGAAATTTGAACTCAACCATCATTAAGGTGTAACAAGGGTCCACAACCTTGATATATCATACTATTACACTATTTGCGTATGAGGAGCAGCTATTTTTTCGGGCAGTATCTGTCTGATTTTCACGAAATTGGAACTCAATCATCATTTTGGTGTAACAGTGAAATATTAGAACCTTTTTTTTAAATCCAATAGAAATTGTGACCTCTAGATAGAGTGTCCACAAGCTAAAAACGTGATTTTTCGTACAATCTGGGGCCATAATTCATGAAGTTTCTATCCGATACATGTCAATATTGACAGAAACCGAGATCTTTTGGAGATAAACCTATATTTCAAGTTTCGTCAAAATGGGATAAGAATTGTGACTTCCCCTTTAATCATTTTAATATGTGCATTTTTAGGTTGAGAAAACATACAGCTGTGATCAATCTCTAATTTCTATTGTTATATATTATTTGATAGGTTAAACAGGCAACCTGGTAAATAAATTTGACATGTACATAAGGCTTGTTAAAGCAAGATGTCTCTTGATTTCTTGATTTTAATGCCACAATTATGAATAATACACAGATTTGTGGCAAAATAGATGTTTTCTTTGAATTTACCTCAAAAACCCTACTAGCTTATAATCCCTGTGACCTGTTTGAGGTCAAATGGAAAAGTTAACCTTATTTTGGGGGGTCAAAGGTCAGACAAACTAAGTTAAAGTCCATGCATGTGGGGGTCAACAAAATGATCCCTTATAGAAAGCCCTGCCAAATGCCCTAATGCCCTAATCAGAAACATATAACATATGGGTTCTTCTTAGAATTATATTTTTACCATTTACCCGATAACAGATACGAGTGGTAAAACACTAGTTTAGGGGGTGAGTTTATAGGGTTAAGAAAGAAAGGGAACACCAGAGCTTGTGATAGAACATAATCTACCTTGTGAGTAAAACATCATAACTCACAGTGATACTTTCAAAATAATAAAGTTTTTACTTACAGTGAATTATATACTATTTCTCTGATCAAGTCAACATTTCCTTTCTACAGAATCAAATAATTCTTCTGTGATTTTTGTTTAAAATCTCCTGGAAAACAGTGAGAATATGGCCATGCACATTAATCTTTTACAGTAGGAGGGTATGTAGTAGGTATTTTCATTGTAAGATGTAAAATCAGGTAGTAGGTGCTAGAATATATATGAATTTTGGGCGTGTGTGACAAGTTTCTCTCAGTGTGTTTCAGCGACAAAGAAATAATGCCTTTGCTTCCAATGTAAATATACTGGGTAATAAATTATAAGAATAATATACCTCCCTGATTCACAATTAGTGAAAATAGCCTGTAAGGCACAGCACCACTACAGCCTCTCATAAAACAGTCCCCAGGATATCCCCAAGCCAATACCAAGCAAGAAAGTGGCATCATAGGTCAGATGCTAAAAAAATCCTGCCTGGAAATGAATTATTGAAATAAAGATAGAAGATTTGATCCTCTGCAAGACACATGCCATGGACTTGGATTTCAGAAGCTAGAGCTAATCGGTAGAATGCTACAGGATATTTACCAGACAAGTTGTTTCAAGTGGTATAATTATGTTCATTTATTTGTTAATGTTTCTACAATTGGGTTACACTTAATTTCTAATGAATTCTTAATTTTAAATGATTTAAATTGGTGCATAAGTGAACAGAAAAATGCACTTCATGCATTGGTGCCCCACCATTATGCTACATTATT